TTTTATTAACATTAAAACGGAACATAATTGCCTTGTTTTAAATATTTACTATATATATATATATATATATATATATATATATATATATATATATATATATATTCATATATATATATTGAAGGAGGCCTGGTGGATATAGCGGTCCGAGTTCGAATTCCTGTGAACATTCAAAATATGGGAAAGGTATTACGGAAAAACAAACTAGGAAAGGAACTCTGAATTCAAAACCTGCGGAAATTTATTTGGAGACCTTGGGGCACGTAGTGCACCAGGTTTTGTATTCGACCTTCACAAAGTGTGGTTGTTTCTGCAAAAAACCTTCAATGTCAGTTGCTGACGACAGGAGAGTCCACCATATATATTGAACCAGGCACGCTTAATTTTTTTATTTTTTTTAGTTGAACCTGGCGACATTTGGTGGAAAAACATTCCTCTCTTTATATTTGTATACTAATTAGGTTTATTTGCTTTCTTCCTTTCATTGCTTTTTTTCACTAACTCTTTAAGCTAATCTTTCCTTCACTTAAATCATTCTGTTCTCCTCATCTTATTTCGCTGATTGTCCTTCCTTCATTTTCTTCTTTTCTTTCATTCACTCTTTCAGTTATTCATCTTTTATGTCACTGATCTTTCTTTCCGTTTCCTGTATCCATCTTTCTTTCAGCTATCCTTCTCTTATTTTATTCATTTTTTTTCATTCATTCTTTCTATCTTTCATTCTCCTTTTTCACTGTCTTTCAGCTATTTTTCTCTTATAACATTGCTCGTTCGTTCTTTCTTTCTTTTTTACTTTCTTTCACTTCCATTTTTTCACTCAATCTTTCAACTATCCAAAACAGACAATCTTTCAACTATCCTTCTCTTAACTGTTTCTTTTTTCAGTCACTTTTCAGCTGTTCCGATCCTTTTTTTCTTTCCTTCTTTCTTTCATTTTCCTTTTTCATTTAGTTTTTCACCTAGCCTTCTCTTATTTCACCGATATTTTTTTCATTCATTATTTCTTTCTTTCTTTCACTTACCTTTTTCACTCAAACTTTCAGCTATCCTTTTCTTATTTCATTGCTCTTTTTTCTTTCATTCATTCTTTCTCTCTTTCATTTGCTTTTTCACTCATTTTTTCAACTATCTTCTCTTATTTCACTGATCATTTTCATTCTTTCCTTCTTTTTTCCTTTCACTTTCCTTTTTCCTTCATTCTTTCAGCTGTGTTTCTCTTATTTCTTTTAGATTTCTTTCTTTTTTTTCTACCTTTCGTTCGCTGATGGTTTCGGCTCTCGTTTTTGAAACATGAGAACTTTTCGAAGGAATCATATTCTTAAAAATATAATTATAATCTAAGCTCTACTTCTGTATGGAGCAAAAATACTAAAGAACACTGGATTACTAACACACCTGCACACACACACACACACATATGTATTTATATATATATATATATATATATATATATATATATATATATATATATATATATTTTTAAACACATTCTCTGGGAGAACTCGATTCGTTTTATCGAAGAGTCTTGCATAAGGCAATAAATTCTTTGAGACCCAGAAGAATTAAAGAGTGTGAAAGAATATAAGAAAATGAAGAACGTTATTATGGAACGAAAACAATAAAAAAAAAACAGGAATGAAGAAAACAGAAGATAACGATTGACATTGACATTTTTGAAGATCAAAATTGTCTAGAAATCAAGAAGCCGGATGAAATATCTGCGTGGGTGTGTAGAAGTGGGGGATTATTAATTCAAGACTTAAATGGAGAACGTGCCCAACAGAAATCGTTACGTTAAAGCGATTCTGTTAAAGATACATCTAGTTAAAATATATATTGTTGGCCACAAAAACGACCACCCGTTATAATTTGGTTTCACTGTGAGAGAACAACACTTGTCCAGGCATCGATGTTGCGTAATAGTCGACGATTGTAGTGAATAGTGACTTCGGTTCTTGATCAGGTAGTCGAAGCAGATGGTTCTGTTCCATTATTTTATTCTATGCACTTATTGAAGTTTTTTTTTTAATTAAAAGAAGCAAACGAATACTGGAGATGTTTTTGATTTAATATAAAAAATGCCTATTCATAAAGAACTCTATATTCAAAAAACTATCACTTGCCTTTCGTTAGACTGAAAGCAAAGAAATTCCTTTCCTACGTTTTCGACTTTATCAACTGGCATTTTAAAGTGGAGATTAATAGCAATTGACAGAAGCATATTTTGTCTAGTTTGTTTATTTTTGTCTTCCTTCGAACAAGCCAGCGCTTCTCATACTCGTTATTAACACAGTGAAATTAATGGTCCTATTGTAAGGTTATAAGTGATTTTCGCAAGACAGGTGAGGATTGTGTATTCGTTTGAATTCCGAATTCATTAAACTTGCAATCGTATTCCATTAAAAAATATACAGGCGTATATTTGAAAAGAATTTGTTCAGTGTCTGCAAAAGATCAGATATTTTTGCAATGCAAACATTAAGTTTTAACGATACATAAAAATTTAAAAATCTGTGAACACCAGAAAGGAAAAGGAGTAGTATTGGCGATATGAATGAATGGAATTTAGCATAAATGACAAAAGTAAATTGAAAACTATGGGCGAAAGAAAGAAAGAAAGAAAGAAAGAAAGAAAGAAAGAAAGAAAGAAAGAAAGAAAATGAGACAAGGTAGAAGGAAAAAATGAAAGAAAATGAACGAAAGAAAAGCAAAAGAAACATGAATTAAGAAAGGAAGAAAAAGAAAGAAAAAAATGAAAGACAGAAAGAAAGAAAGAAAGAAAGAAAAGAAATAAAAGAAAAGGAAAGAAGAATAAACAAAGAAGGAAAGAAAAAGGAAGAAATAGAATAACGAAAGAAAGAAAGAAAGAAAAAGGAAAATAGCGAATAATGAAGAAAGGAAGAAAGATAAAGAAAGAACGAAAGAAAGAAAGAAGGAAAGAAAGAAAGAAAAAGGAAAATAACGAAAAATGAAGAAATGAATAAAGAAAGAAAAAGAGATAAATATAAAAGGGAGAAAGCAAATAGAAAAAAGAAAAAGGAAAAGTAAGAACGAAAGAAAGAAAGAAAGAAAGAAAGTGTAAAAAAGAGAAAGAAAGAGAAAGAAGGAAAGGAAGGAAAAAAGAAAGGAAAAAGTCTAAAAGAAAGAAAAAGGAAATTGGAAATGATAAATAAGTCTATAAATATCAAAATGGAAGGAAGATAGATATACTCAATGTACACATAATGTATAATTGTATTAAAATAAATAAATGGATATGCAAAGAAGAAAAACAAGAATGAAATAGTAAAGAAAGAATAAAGGGAGAGCGAGGGGAAGATAGAGAGTAGTGAATGAAGGAATGAAGAAAATAAGCGATTGATGAAGGAAGGAAAGAAGAAAAGCGGAAAGGATTGTGGATGGAAAGAAAGCAAAACCTGAAGACGGAATGAAAATGAAATTTAAATAAATGGAAGAAAATGGAAGAACAGCAAGAAATTGTATGACGAATGTATGACTTTCAGATCAAATACAGGCTTGCGATTGATAAATAGTTGCCTAAATTACACAAAAATGAAAATAGCGCTGACTTCTCATTTTAACAGATATATTTACCAAAACTACACAGACATATTTACCAAAATTACACAGACATATCTAGAGATGCTAAAGTGTAAATTTATTCAATAAAATATCCAATGGCTTCAGCCACGGCCTCCAGACGACTTCGGAATCTCCTGCATCTCTTCTGGACGGTCTCCTTATTTAAGTTGGTGAATGCTGCCATAATCCTTGTCTTCAGTTCATGTTTGGTGTTACAAGGAATTTTGTTGGTCTCTCTCTCAACTGCGCGCCACATATAATAATCAAGACGGTTGCAGTCTGGGGAGTTAGGTGGCCAGATGGTAGGAGTGTTGTGGTCGAAGAAATTGATTGACAGCCATGACTGGCTTCTCCTGCTTGTGTGGCATGGGGTAGTGTCCTGTTGCCAGACATAGGGTCTTCCAGCAGCCGGCTTCTTGACGCACTACAACACTACCTCCTCAAGGTAATTGATGTCGGCCTCCGTGTTGAGTTTGAGGCACTCGCCAACAAATTCGGGAGTTCTTTTCATATTAGAACGATCAGAGTGAGTTTTCTGGGCTGCCATACCTTCGTAATCCCCATTAAACTCTTTCCGATTCCCATAACAGTCCTCTGACACCCAAACACCCTGAAGTGTTCATATTGGAACTTCTGGTGCGAATGCCAAGCAGTACAGTATGCTGTTTCCAAATTTCCAAATTGCTTCATGGTGCTCATTCTTCTCACAGACTGTGCCCAACTGACCCTACTATACTGTGCAGTCGACAAAATCAAAAACAATCAACGCGCATGCGTGAAATTAAAAGTATAAAATGGCGAAAATTTGCCTATCGCATCCTTAGATATAAAATGGAAATCCAAAGAATTAACATGAGAAGAGAATCGATTAATAGTAACGGAAGAGAGAAATTTTGAAATAAAGAGGAAAGAATTAACGAAAAATGAGAAAAAAGGAAAAATTGCAATATAAGCTCTGGTAAAAAAAAAAAAAGAATTACTAATAACAAAAAAATTGTAATATGAGCACTGGAGAAACAAAAGCTTGGAGAGTCGAGTTAAAAGGGAAATAACTGAGATATCCGAAAGACGCATGGCACGTGGAACTAGAACAATCTACCCCGGTGAAGAAAGAACGCAAGAAAGGATGTAAGGAAGAAATATAATTAATAAGAAAGAAAGAAAGAAAGGAAGAAAGAATGTAAGAAAGGAAGTTAGGAAGAAAGAAATAAAAAGAACAAACGATAGAAAGAAAGAATTCTAAAAGAAAGAATGATTAATTACAGCAGATAAACTTCAACGGCATAAGAGGGCAAAATGATAAAGGGGACAGTCGCTCAATACAAACCGATTAATAATATTCCTGGCAATAGAAATATGGTTCTGCACAAGGATGCTTAGAATATTATTGACTGAGCATGTAAGTTAATTAAATAAATGGCGCAGTCACTCGAGGATGCCTTTCTACTAGAGCGGCTTGTTAATCCCCATTGCAGACGCCTGCTCAGACACATCTGTGTTTGCTCAACACCCACAGAGCCTACCTGTGGTTTATACTGCAACTTCGTTGAGCGAACCTTAGTTACAGTTTCTGGGAGAGAGCGCATAATCTAGTGTGATCAGCTGTCTGGACAAGTCTAGCACACTCAAAGCCTTGGTCACGATGACTTGTGACTTCGTGCTAGCAAAACCACCGGATCCCTTGGGAGACGACTGAACATGTGAGCAACGGCAAAAGACAGTTATAGAAAGATACAGTTGAAATTTCTAGAGCTCATAATGAGGAAAGAGGGATTGCAAAATTTGACACTCACGGGACATACTGAAGGTGAGAAAAACATATGAAAAGAACGCATAATCGATCTAACATTTGTGTAAATCAGGAATGGTAACCTTTTGGAGAAAGCTGGCCAGAAAGCTATGCATTGTCTTGGAGGAGGGTCATGATATCAAAAGTATTATAAAAAAATGTCCGTGTTCTTAGGCTGCTTTTTCCAGAAGGCTGCCTTGGCGTGAAAGTTTAAACAAAAAAAACAAGGAAGTTAATACTATTTTATTTAGACAACGTTCCTTATTTTACTACAGGATAACAATTAACACAATCAATAAAAATACAAATTCCTTACTACAAATGAAATCCAGTTAGAAATGGAAAATTATTTAATGATACACTTGTTTCTGCTTATTGTTTGATAACTTCTTCAGATCAGGTGAAATATTTATTTGTCGATGACATTAGCAAATCATCATACAGGTGTCATCACACAATTTTGTTCTTAAATGACTTTTAGTATAATTAATTTTCGAAAAATGTTGTTCACAAGCATATGTACTGCCAAATAATGATACCATCATTTTCGTATTATTTAATAGGTTTTTATATTTTTCGCTTAGCAAAATATATTTCTTGTAGAATTCAACAATGAATTCGGAATGAAATTTTGATTTACAAAACATTTGTCGCATTTTAAGTCAATTAACTCCAAACGATATTTTTTCTGCAATTTGCTCCACAAATTATTTACATAATTAGTGTCCAGGCATTAAGATGGCGGACTGGACAAAAATCCTTCGCGGGCCGGATATGGCCCAGGGGCCGGATATGGCCCAGAGGCCGGGGGTTGCCGACCCCTGGTGTAAATGGATGACAGAAGTAAATTTATTAGAGATCACAAAAAGACAAAATTTACTAAGAGCTACAAGGGAAAGGAAATCGCTATGATCGCCAACGTCCTGAAGAGCCACAGTATACAGAAGAAAAAGACGATATACGGGCAACAGGAAATGAAAGACTTTTTTTAAAACTAAAGTAACAAACGAATCATTGTTTTTGGTTAATTTCAGTCGCGTAAAGAAAAGTGGGCCGCGGTTTTGAATTTTCTGAGCACAACCGATTTAATCAAACCGTACGCTTTGAGGTTACAAACAATGTAATAATTCATAATTTTACCAAGTTTGCATTCTTATCGTTATGTGTCTCCCGCTGTTTCTCTTTCAAACAAACGGATATGAATAGAGCGAGATAAATAAATAAACAATTAGATAACGGAATATTGCGGGAGTGGTCCAGTCCTCTCATTCTAGACTCGTCAGATTTCAAAAGTGTTTACGTGGCCTTTTAGGTGATGAATCATTTTCCTCCCAACAATCATGTTACCACAGACGCAATATCACATGGCTGTCACTACTCTATCGCTATGTCCATAGAAAATATTCTGACGAGCTGCATTCTTTAGTTTTACCTCTTCAGATATTTACATCTAAGTCCCACTATGCCATTATATACAGGAGCGAATCATCTTCATCACTTCGTGTTTCGTGAGTAAGTAGGAAGTTCCATTCGGGCAGATTGTTTCCATGAACCGCTACTTCATGGGAAAAATTTCCCGAGAGGATATCTATCCAAACACCAAAATCGTAACCACTTTTTTCTCCTGTGTGCCGTTGTCCTTCAGGTCGTTGCGATAATGGTTCTCCACAATTTTCTGTCCTTCATAAATTTTGTCTTTTTGTTATCTGTCGTAAACCTTTTGCTGCTTTTGTTCCTTGGCCCACTCTGACCCAACCCACGATACGGCGTCGTTGCATCTGTTAGAGTACCAGGTGTGGGCAAATACTGAACGCTCAAAAAAAGCCAAAACACTATATTTTATAATAAAAATATATTTTATAGTAAAAACACCAGCAATACATATTTTCATTTGAAAAACTACAATTTTAATCAAAATTACCAGCAATACATTTTATTTGTAGCTGAAGGCACATAATTGCGTTCAAAATACATTTAGATGAAGCCATAAAACTTAAATCAAATTATAGACAGGAGCGAACCATCTTTATTCCCTTCGTATTCCGTGGGTAAGATGGGTGTTCCATTCGGATAGATTGTTTCTGTGAACTGCTACATCATGAAACAGATTCCCGAGTGGATGTTTATCCAAACACTAAAATACTAACCTCTGCAACCACCTACAGTGACCACCTACCTTGGTTTTGGGGATCTAGTGTGTAAATATTTAGTAAAGAAAATCATATGTACTGTATATGTCAGTAGTATTTTATATAGGTGTAATGACAAAAGCACGCAGGTGCAGGCTTTAAGAAAACTTTATTCAACTGAGGATACAAGGTTCGCATATAGTGTCCTTTTATAGTCCCAGTAAACAGAAATAGCTCTCTCAAAGAGGAGAGGAACAAAACAAGGGGAGACCACTCTTGATTATTCATAACAATAGGTTCTTTTGACTTCATTTCACACTGGTATTTAAAGTTGTGTCTATCCATGGAGAAATAGGTAGCAGATGACTTTTAAGGCTGCAGTTCTACACTTGACCATATACACTACAGTTTAAAAGTTTGTAGAAATGCTGGGTAATTTTTAAATTGTCCCCCATATTCTTTGTTTTGGACATGATTGTTTCTTTATTAGAAACTTTATTATGAGAAAAAGGAAAAAAAAATGAATTTCATGATTAAATTTTGCTCTCATCAAAATATCCTCCTTTACCCTTGTTTACTTCAGTGAAACTTTTTGATATAAATTGCAAAAGTTCCCCTAATTTGATAATTGATTACGTTCGTTTCATTGACTCTGAGAGCACTTTTACATATTTTTTTTTTCACGCTTCTTTCAAGCTTATCCCATACTAATGCTGGGAGTAGCTTCAAACGATTTATGTTTTCAACTAAATGTTTTGACGTCTGCCCAAAAGGATGTTCAATACTCACCCCCACCATATTAATAATTTTTTTTTATCATTTTAAATGTAGTTGCAGTGCCGATTACATAGGTAGGTCAATCCAACGTTTAGATGCAAGAATGCAGCAGCATATACCTAGAAAAATCAGGAATGGAACATTCCAACTAAAGGACGTTCTGAACAACATATATGGTTCCTCCATCGCGGAACATCTTATTAAAAAAAAAACAAATTGTGCCGCTAACTTTAGCATTGACTCGTTTAGCATTTTGTGTCGGGATCGCTCTAAATTGCAGATAAAGGTGTTAGAAAAAAATATAGCTTCGGTCCAGACAGCCCTCCCTCAGTAAACAGAGGGAGTGTTTCTTAGGACTTTACGTGATTTCAATTCAAATTGTATTCCGCCTTCATTAACATTACATATTGTTTGTGTGTTTTTTATATATAATCCCTCGATCAGCTCTGTTGAGTGAGGGCGAAACCGGTCAGCTGTGTATGTTTCATTTTTCGTTTTTCTTTTTAATTATGAAAAGTAAAATAAGTTTGATATTTTTATTGCTAAAATAAAATTCTGTAACCCAAAAGAAAATATATATATATATATATATAATTAATTCATCCACTCTAGAAAAAAACCTCAACAGAATTCAGTGCGCATTCCCCACGGAGAATTGAACCAGGACCGTTGCGATACGACCAACTGTACAAACGAGCCCCGACGGCGAAGTGGTAACGAATTAGACTCGATAGAGCGCCGCTCTTCACAAATTGCGTGGCGTAACTTATCCGAGTTTCCCTTACCCAGACGACGGTGCCACCACGAGCTATGACTACTATCCCCAAGCCGCTACATCCAGAATATTAGAAGCCAGTTCAAGCAAAGGTATACAAGTGATAGAAATTATTAGGAGGATTTGAGATAATCATAATTAAGTAATATATACATATACATATATATATGGTGCTGTACAAAACGTTATTATAATGTATAGTCGTATTTGAACGATTCATTTTCACTTTTACTGTAAGCAGTTTGTATAATACACACTGTTTACAGTAAAAAAAATAAAATAAATAAAACGTATATTAATCCGCTGATTCGAGAAAATGTCCTCTCCGGAAGAACCCCCCTTTTTATGAGAAACCAACTTTTGATCCGGTGTGCTTTACCGTTCGGCTACAAAGAGCATCACAGTAAAGCAAGACTATATTATACCTTTTAAGGAAAGCAAACTTCCTCAGTAAGATATTTTTGAACTCGAGAGAACATATTTACTCAGCTTCGTATCCGAAACGTAAACAAAGCAACTTCAAAAGAATTAATGGATCTATTTCTAATCCGACTAATGTATTACTTCAAACGTTATTAGAGTAGAATCTCGTATTGGAAATAATAAATGCCACGATTTTATTTTTTACTTTACACAGTGTTTTAAGTGAGAAGAAGACATGAGTGAGTTAGATGTAATTTAAAATTCTTTTCTCTCTCCCCTCACTTCCTCACTTCGTTAATTTACATATGCTTAATACAGCCCGTCAAAAATGTGTACATTTCTTTTCATTTTTCGTTTCAACCTTTGGAAGTAAAGTCTGATGATCCACCAAAAAAAAGGGCTGTGGTGAAATAATTTATAACATGGAACCTTAAAAGTGGTCTGTTTTTTATTTAAAATATATATATATATATATATATATATATATATATATATATATATATATATATATATATATATATAGTTTCTGATTAGTAGACTAGCTGTTATCGATTATCGATTTTACTATATATGTACATTTTCCTGGTGGTCTGAAGGAAGATCTATGCTTAAGGTCTATCATAATCGTGTTTCTTTGTTCTGTACATTCTTGGAAATGGATGGGTTAGTATGTGTAGATGATAAATCAGCAAACTATTTTTCATTTCTATTTTAGGGTATCTTCTGAATATATATATTTCTGGAAAGTATACAGCCATTTTCAATCTTTCTATTGCAATTACTATTTCTTGTAAATCTCCAAAACCAAATACTACTTTTCTTGTACCAAGATTTCTTCTTCTTCTTCTTCTTCTTCTTCTTCTTCTTCTTCTTCTTCTTCTTCTTCTTCTTCGTTATCTTTTTCTGCATCTTCTTTTTCTCCTTCCCTATCTCTTTTATTTTTCTTCTTTTTCTTCTTTCCTAGCTTTTCATTTCTTCTTCTTTTCTATTTCTTTTATTTCTTCTTTTCGTCTTACTTGATATCAAATGACAGCAAATCTTACTGTAAGCCGTTCTTTCTCTGTTTCCCATCTTTTCAGTCGTGAGAATTCGCATTCTTCTTTAAGAGAGGCAAACAATCGTCATCCCTTAACTGCTTTGTAAATCTTTATCAAGCGTCCAACTTCTCGTTCCTTTTCAATGTCACTTTATGGTCTACTCTAACGACGATATTCACTATTTCAGTTTTTTCATTAGATTATAATAACTAAATCTGGTTCGACTTGGGAAATACCACCGAATTCCAAACTCCTAAAAAAAGTCAATTTTAATCTGTTCTCAAAAAAAGTTTCCGATTAGATGCTATCGATTATCGATTTTACTACATATGTACATTTTCCTTGTGGTCTGAAGGAAAATCTATGCTTAACGTCTATTATAATTGTGTTTCTTTGTTCTGTATACTCTCGAAAATGGATGGTATGGTATGTGTAGATGATAAATCGGCAAATCATCGACAGTCTGTCTCGTACGCATGGCATTCGGCTATATGATCCAGTGCGTTTTATTTGCACAGTTACCAATATGTAGATGTTCTCATGATGTCCTTTTATTCTGCTTATATTCCCTTTTGGCCGGTTTGCAGCTTCGTATATCTTTCCGCAAATTTTTTTATTTTTTTTTTACTTCGATTTTGGTATGAGGATAACTGGTTCCGATATATTTGTTCACGGCTACAGTGAAAAGAAATTTCTTTTCTCTAATGACATGTCCTCTGCGTAAACCTCTCCTGTTTATTTTTGGTACTTGATGGCTGCTTCTCCTTTGAAATCTGTCGTTTAAATTTTCAATTATTTTTCTTCATAGTTTTCTCGTTTGTTTTTCTTGATATTCTCTCTATATATTTCTCTCTCTCTCTATTTTTCTCTCTCTTCTCTCTCTCTCTCTCTCTCTCTCTCTCTCTCTCTCTCTCTCTCTCTCTCTCGGCACGTAGATTTTGTAAATTGAGTGCCGCATTTAATCCTCTGCCACCTTCTTTTCTCATTGCATAAAGTATGTTGAGATAATATTTAGGTATTATTATTATTATTAGTAGTAGTAGTAGTAGTAGTAGTTGTTGTTGTTGTTGTTTGCCCATGCCGGGAAAAGATAAGGGCAATAGGTGATTAGTATTGTAATCCCGGGTTTCAAAGAATATCGGTTGCTCTACGTTTTCTTATTTAGGGTCAATACATTTAGAATGCTACTTTAGAAAGATGACATTAAATCATGCTTTCGTTGCATGTTTGTCACAGATATGATATTATAATTCACAATATTTTTACTTATTATGTCCAACCCATAACATTCTTACACGAGGAAGTAATGAAAAGCAAACCAGCTTCCACTACAAATATGGAATTCGAATTTTTTTTTTCCATTTATGTTTCATAATTACCCGTATTTGCATAAGGTAACTTTTCCCCCCCACTCCCGTCAGGTGTATATGTTAAGTGATCTTCAATTTTCAGGAAACGCGTCAATTGTAAAGGTAATGGAAATATTAGCCGTTTCCTTATAAGGAAACATTTGGCATTCATTGGGCGAGCCGTTAGTAGTACTGTCGATTGAAATATATAGAACCTTTTTCTTAAAACAATTTTTCAAGGAGATAGTTTTTTCACGTCCAATAGCTATTATCGCTCTTTCCAGTATTGATGGAGATTTTCTTCCTAATTTTTTGTTTGACTTAGCGTGGATTATCAACATGTTGATCATGTTATTATTTTTTATTAGATTTACATGCGATATACATTTTAATGGGTTGCTGTTGTTAAAATCACTCGAATGATGCTGTTTCTGTGATCCGGTACAGTTCTTGGTTTGTGATTCTTTAGTACTAGTCTACAAGTTCCTAAGAAGGATGATCTTTGACAAGAACTTTTAATTACTGATCTGAGAATGCTTTGGTATGCTGTTGAATGTTGAGAAATTTCTGAACGAGTTTGTTGCTCGGCATCACATTCATATAAAATCTTGATCTGATTAAGCTATTTAAGACCATGTGTAGTATTTTTAGTATATTTTGGCTTTGTAGCTATTTGCAGTGTTGGGAAAAACTACTGCTTTCAAAGTCTATTCTATGTTCATTTGCTATTTCTTCTATATTAAATTTGTTATAAATGATCTATACACCATTGTATTTGCATTACGGTTATATTACGCTGAGACACCAGTTCACGTACGACCAACGATGTTAAGCAACGTCGAGCCTGCTCAATGCCTAGATGAGTGACCACTTGGCAATATCACGTGCTGTTAGCTTGGGTGTCTGGGTGGTATAACTGATAATGGGTCGAAATCGGAGAGCTGATTTCCAATTCATGTTGGATTCGCTATATTCACCTATTGCGAAACGTATGCATCTACTCTTCTCCTCCAGTTATGGGTTAATTAGTAAGACCTATATTATTAAAACTCTTATTATTTCAAAATAAAGAAACATTCTTACAATCCAAAAACTATTTGCTGGCTTTAAATAACTTGCAAAGGGTTGATAAGCTGTAGAAAATTAATCAGTCAATCAATCACCCGACTTATTTGAAGTGTTTACCATTGACTAATGAAACATATTTAATGTTTTATGATAGATTCATGATATGTGTCATCATTGCTTTTATTCCATATATCAAATCAGAGTGTAACGATAACAGTGTCAGCCAATAACTTGCTAAATCGAAACATCTGAAAGATGTTACAGAAATTGTTTCAGAAGATTTTTGTCCGAATGATTATCATTTAAGGGAAGTGGATCTCACGGGATCTCAAACGATTCTGACAAAGTGTGTCCCTGAGTGAGGCTAGAACTTGGGTTCTTGATAAATTACTTTTTTAGACAAAATTGACAAGACAAAGAACGCTGTTTTCTATAAGAAAGTGGTCACTAGCTGCCGAAAACAGAGCGGCCCAAAGAGAGCGGATAGAGAGAAACAAGAGACCGCTCGCTGCGACGCGAAAAGGTAGACACACCTGTTAGACTCCTCGCCTCCGCTTCATCCCTGCCTCGGTCGTTTGCAGCAGGAGGTTACTATCGAATAAAATTTACCTACTGCTACAATCGGCTCATGTTTTGACTACGTGGGTAACAATCTGGCCAAAACCAAAAGCATTTAGCGGGAAGAAGCTGCACACTGAGAACGAACCTGGTGCCTGGTGTGAGCTGAAAAGACAGAATAGTTTCTGTTTGGGAAAAGTTTATTTTGAGTCCTGTTACCTGGAGCACTTTATAGAGGATGACGATTTCCTGTTCAAGAATATCCTTGTCCCAAATATAAATACCAATGCCATCAGAATATTCATCGCACCTTATCGTCAATAAAGTGACCTCGGGAAATAAGAAAGATCTCTGTCTTCTAATAGTAAATTCGTTTGGGATGCGGTATGATATGCATAAATAGTCTTCAAATATAAAGCTAATTGAAAACCGTTGTCTGTTTATCTGATACGATTCTTCATCTCCGAGTTTGTAAAAGAATCTCAAGTATAAACTGATGTCCATTTTGATTAAGTAAATACAAAAGCTGCCTTTTTGAACTTATCCTTCCGGGCAGAATAACCCAGACAGCGAGCAAAAGAATTTACCTGTCTGATTTTCTGAATATAAGTTCATTTATTTTTTTTTTCACTAAATGTAAATCAAGACTTGTTTAGAAATTCGTCTAACCTTTCCCAACCTTGGTGATATCAGCCAGCGGTGGGCGATTTCAGCTGTTGGGTAGGCGATGAGTAAATGAACAGAAAATGGTGGGCGATGGGAAATCTTGGTTGGGGATTTGAAATTTTGGTGCGGGATATAGGATTTTGAATATTAAAAAGGTATTTCAATATATGCTACCCGGAAAAAAATATTCAAATGAGATATACAAAAACATGTATAAAAAAACAAAACAGGAAGCTAATTGGGAATAACTGGTTCACATTCCTAGATAAGATATAAATATTCTCGCAAATAAGGAATATTTTGATATTTTCTAAGAAGGTTCATGGACATTCAAATAGTTCTTATTCAAATGGTTCTTATTCAAATATTTCTTAAACAAATATTTCTTATTCAAATGGTTCTTATTCAAGTGGTTCTTATTCAAATAGTTCTTAATCAAATGGTTCTTATTCAAATATTTCTTATTCAAATGGTTCTTATTCAAATATTTCTTATTCAAATGGTTCTTTTTCAAATGGTTCTTATTCAAGTATTTCTTATTCAAATGGTTCTTATTCAAATGGTTCTTATTTAAATATTTTTATTCAAATGGTTCTTATTCAAATGATTCTTATTCAAATGGTTCTTATTCAAATGGTTCTTATTCAAATATTTCTTATTCAAATGGTTCTTATTTAAATATTTCTTATTCAAATGGTTCTTATTCAAATATTTTTTATTCAAATGGTTCTTATTCAAATGGTTCTTATTCAAATATTTCTTATTCAAATGGTTCTCATTCAAGTGGTTCTTATTCAAATAGTTCTTATTCAAATGGTTCTTATTCAAATATTTCTTATTCAAATGGTTCATATTCAAATGGTTCTTATTCAAATATTCTTATTCAAATGGTTCTTATTCAAATGGTTCTTATTCAAATATTTCTTATTCAAATGGTTCTTATTCAAATGGTTCTTATTCAAATAGTTCTTATTCAAAGGGTTCTTATTCAAATATTTCTTATTCAAATGGTTCTTATTCAAATATTTCTTATTCAAATGGTACTTATTCAAATGGTTCTTATTTAAATATTTCTTATCCAAATGGTTCTTATTCAAATGGTTCTTATTCAAATAGTTCTTATTTAAATGGTTCTTATTCAAATGGTTCTTATTCAAATATTTCTTATTTAAATGGTTCTTATTCAAATGGTTCTTATTTAAATATTTCTTATTCAAATGGTTCTTATTTAAATATTTCTTATTTAAATGGTTCTTATTCAAATGGTTCTTATTCAAATATTTCTTATTCAAATGGTACTTATTCAAATGGTTCTTATTTAAAAATTTCTTATCCAAATGGTTCTTATTCAAATGGTTCTTATTCAAATATTTCTTATTCAAATAGTTCTTATTCAAGTGGTTCTTACTCAAATAGTTTTTATTCAAATATTTCTTATTCAAATGGTTCTTATTCAAATATTTCTAATTCAAATGGTTCTTATTCAAATGGTTCTTATTTAAATATTTCTTATTCAAATGGTTCTTATTCAAGTTGTTCTTATTCAAATAGTTCTTTCTTTCGGAAATAAATCAGAGAAGGGAAGAGTAAAAATAACAAAAGTATTCACTGAATTTTGACTCATTCTTTTTAATTTTAGAAATATCAACCAAAATTGTTTAATTTTTTGTCAACACTTGCAACGCTAACCATGAAACAAAATTATATATATATATATATATATATATATATATATATATAGTTTTCAAAGGTTAAGTTTGTTTTGTGTATTCTTTGATCTTTTTGTAGCTGTCGCCGTATAAGTAAACGATATTTGTTACCTCATTACGCTCTCTTTTTACTATATCATAAAATCAATTTAACATAAATCTTGGCATGATTTTGAATATTTACTATAAAGGTGAGCGGTGGAAAAAAAACCTTGTCTTTTAAAAGTGGGTGATGATGCCAAAACGTTTGGGAATACTTTGTTCAACAGAATCATTAGAACCCTTTCACCAGACTTATTTCTCTGGCATAATTCGAACTCAAGTGTTTTTACACTCAGTAAGAATCAGTCAGTCAGTTATGTGCTATGCATGACAGACGCTTAGGCGATCATGTATCTTTTGATACATGGCTGACGAGTCAGATTTTTCCCGTAGTTGGTTGGTATTTATTTCTGCTAAAGATCAGTTCCCATCCAAAGCTATAGAACCCAGTCTGCCCTACAATTTAAACATAAGTGGGGGGGGAAGAAGAGGATTCATACCTTCCCTGAGGGTATTAGCACGTAAGCGAATGTAAAGGATCCGATTGGAATTCGAACTCAATCCAAGCCGCTATCCATTACTCCATCGTGCCTCCTCAGAA